GAGGGAGTCTCAGTCTGTTGCCCAGGCTGGAGCACAGTGGCGCAATCTTGGCTCACTGCAACCTCTGCCTCCTGGGTTCAAGCAATTCTCTGCCTCAGCCTCCAAAGTAGCTAGGATTATAGGCACGTGCTACCATGCCTGGCTCCACGACCGCCTAATTTTTTGTATTTTTAGGTAGAAACGGGGTTTCACCATCTTGGATAGCCTGGTCTTGATCTCTTGACCTCGTGAGCCACTTGCCTCGGCCTCCCAAAGTTCTGGGTTATAGGCGTGAGCCACCTTGCCTGGCCCTGTTTTTTGGGTTTTTTTGAGACAGAATCTTGCTCTGTCGCCCAAGCTGGAATGCAGAGGCAGGATGTTGACTCACTGCAATCTCTGCCTCCCAGGTTCGAGCGATTTTACTGCCTCAGCCTCCTGAGTAGCTGGGACTATAGGCATGCGCCACCACGTCTAGTTAATTTTTATTTATTTATTTATTTATTCTTTAAAGATGGGGTTTCACCATATTGGTCACGCTGGTCTCGAACTCCTGACCTCAGGTGATCTACCCACCTCAGCCTCCCAAAGTGCTAGGATTGCAGGCGTGAGCTACTGCGCCCAGCACGTCTAGTTAATTTTTGTATTTTTAGTAGAGATGGGGTTTCCCCATGCTATTGAGGCTGGTCTTGAACTCCTGGCCTCAAGTGATCTACCCTCCTTGGTCTCCCAAAGTGCTGAAATTAAATGTATGAGCCACCTGGCCTGGGCAAGCCATTGAAGATTTTAAATAAGGGAGTGACGTGCTCTGATTTGCATTTTTCACAGTCACTCTGATTGCTGGGCAGAGAGAACGGAGTGCAGAGCGGTGAGAGTGAGTCAGGTGACCTGCCAGGAAAAGGTGCATGTGCATGTACTCACCCGTGCCAGAGATGACAGGGCTTTCAGATGGAGGCAAATGGACACATTTCCGAACTCACTGAATAGGCGCATCTACAGGATTTGGGGGTGGGGGAGGGGAGAAACCCATGGCTGACTCTTGTTGTTTCTCCAGGCAGGGTACTTGGGTTGGGAGGTCTGTTTGGAGCTCTCTGGGGCATGGTGTGAGGTGCGGGCAGGACACAGTGGAGATGAGGGGGAGGTTAGTGAGTTGGGGGGCTGGAGCTCAGGGCCAGACTGCCATGGGAGATGGAGGCCTGCCAGTCTTCAGGATCTGTTACTGACCGAAGTCTTGCTCATGGATGAGCCTGTCGTCTGCGGAGGAAAGTGTGGAATGAGACGAGCAGGCCTGGGTGAAGGCCGGGGAATCAGCAGAGACAGTCAAGAGGGCCAGAGGCTTGGAGGCAAACCCCACAGTGGGCCCCTCCTCCCCAGGGGCCAAGGCCAGAGATGGTTTCAAGGTAAGAGAGGGGACCAGGCACAGTGGCTCCTGCCTGTGGTCCCAGCACTGTAGGAGCCTGAGGCTGAAGGATGGCTTGAAACCAGGAATTCAAGGCCAGCCTAGGTAACACAGAGAGAGCCCATCTCTACAGAACTACAAATTTAACTGGGTATAGTGGTGCACGCCTGTAGTCCCAGCTGCTTGGGAGGCTGAGGCAGGAGGATCGTTTGAGCCCAGGAGATCGAGGCTGCAGCGCACTGTGATCAGGCCACTGCCGGAGCAAGACTCTGTCTCAAAAAATAGAAAAAAGATCAGAGAGGGGCACCAAATCAAATCCTCCACTTTTTCAGCTTCCGGTTGCTCTGATGATGATCTGAGGCTGTGAAACTCTCCTTTTGCAAATGCATGAGGGTGACTTTGTGTCACTGAGCCAGGCCCTGGGACCCAACTCTGGGCAGGCAACCGCCTGTGTACCACATGTGATAGTAAGAAACTAACCCTGGCCCAGGCGCAGTGGCTCACGCCTGTAATCCCAGCACTTTGGGAGACCGAGGCGGGCCAATCACCTGAGGTCAGGAGTTTGAGACCAGCCTGACCAACATGGTGAAA